TACCGTCATTATTCATCATATTATTTTGAAAAGTGTATATCTGCAGCAAAAGAAGATCATTTAATTTGACCTCATGTTTTGCCTGCGTTCGTTCTAACTCGCGGGTTCAGAGAAAGGTCCAGACGATGAGCACGGAGGATCTTGAAAGCTTGCACAACTTTTCCGTTTTCTTCTGTCATGTCAAACTACTATAACAATTAAGCTTGCTTATAGGCTTGGGACACTACCAGCTATGAGGGACTATACGGTATGACATCTTATATCGTATTAAAGGAGAAACATTATGAAAGAAACTTACTTGACACTTGAACAGTTGCTATATCAACATCCGTTCCTAGCGATAAGACGATAGTTTAATAGTGTATAGTTGTCAGTACAGGTCAGGCCCGTCATGTGACCAGATCGATTAATACACGAGAAGCGTTCAAACCTATTAACGAACAACAATACCTTAATCTGCTGACTTTTATTTGAGGAAATCCGTTTAGAAAAGGCTACTAGGTTTTAAACGTATTGGTCCTGTGCTGCTTATTGATTCAGTTCATTTCTATAACCACGTCTATAATGGCTGACTTTGCTTAACCCTCTGGGGTCAGAGGTGAAATCCTGGTCACTCATCAAATCAATGTATTGATTTCAAATGTGTAAGACACAGAATTACTATATCGTGATGGTGTTTCTTACTGTGATCGAGAAGTACTTGTCACGTTAAAGCTTTTGGTGATATCGGCATGAAGGATACAGGAGGATCAGTGTTATTAGTGTTAATCAGGAGATACAGCATGTGTGCCATGACACAAAGATTTGAAACATTTAATCGGTAATAGGGATGTAACGGTATGAAAATTTCATATCACGATTATAGTGACCAAAATTATCACGATTACCAATATCACGGTTTTGTTCAAATGAGATGAAAATGTTCAAAAAGAACCGATACGCACACTGAAAACATTTCAACAAGTTTTATATTTGGAAATCAACAAACAACAAATAAAATTAGCAGCTCTATACACTTTTTCTCAATAGCAAAGCATTATAACACACAGCGCACATCTCTTCTGTCACCGCGGACGCGCTCTCGTTTCATCAAAATGCTTTTATAAATGAGGTTAGTGGATAATTCAGCAGCAAACTTTATTATAGTGAAAAAAACGTTTAGTTTGGAAAAAATAAAAGGTAAAATGTTACACATTGCTCTTTTTATTGTTGTAAAATACATTGATGAAAAACAAATAAATGTAATTTACATGTACTATAAAATGAACTATGAACAAGTGCTTCTCCAGTGTGATCGACACCGCAAGGGAACACGCACGATTTAAACAGAATAAACTCCAGCAAGATAAAGTACTTTTATGAAAAAACATAGACCCTTTTCTACAAATGAAGTATAATAATGGGAGCCTTGATGTTGGAGTGGGTTTCCTCGTGTGACTGTCGAAACCGAACGCGACGCTGAGAATGGAGAATGACTGAGGAGAGTTTCCATTAACTTTAACAACTTAAATATTCATTTGAACCTCACATTAAGCTATGGAACGTCTTGGGATATAGTGCACGAAAAGTTAATGGTGCTTTACAATATTTTTGATATCTTTAGTGGGGTTAACAATAACAGAGAATAGTATGTACACTAGCGGCCGTCACTGAGAAGCTGCAGCCGCGGCGCAGAGGATTATGGGGGATGAGTCACTGCCGTACGCCGCCTTCTCCAACAAAACAAACAACGTTGCATGCTGGGACTGTCAGACTGATGCTGCCTGGACAGGCTTTACCGCGAGTTTTCTAAAGCGTGATAATCGAACACTGTTTTCGTGATAATTAAATTGTAAACGGTAATACTAACCGTCAGGACATTTTATCGTGAAACCGGTAATCGTTCCATCCCTAGCAGTGAGTAAGTCAAATCTCATTCATACAGGTAATCACAGCCGAGCGCTCTCATTGGGCCACGCGAGCTGGATTGGCCCTGCAGAATTATTAAAAAGACAGAATTTCACAAGTCATTACAAATCTGCTTTCTGCTTCGTCATGTAGAGATTGCGGTGAAAATCCCCCAAAACTATTTAAAGCATAATGCTGCATATTCAGATTCCTTAATCCTTTTCACATTGTTGAATGCACTGTAAATGATGACATGTTTTTGTGTGAATTATCCCTTTAGTTCTATAAATTAAAGTGTGTTTTTCCACTGATGTCTGACGGAAGATAAACTCGCGCTCGTTTCTGTGTTCGGGGAAGTCGTCGGTCAGTCGTAACAGGTTTGTGAGTGTAATTGTAGAGATCTGCAGAGGAACATGAGTGTGTGAGAGTTCAGAAACGCTTGGATTGGCGTCACGCTTCCCGCAGTTGGTTTATAAGCAGATGTTGATGCAGATGCAGGAGAAGTGCTGGTTCATCAAGAGCTTGTGCATGTTGATCCTAAACACGTCATGAACACCATCCTTCATGCTCATCCCTGCTGCTGTCCGAGACTGAGCTCGTGTGTGTGTTTCAGTGCTGCAGCTGCTGCGCTGGCGGGACGTGCGCTCGAGCGCGCTGGTCTTCGGCTCCAGCCTCTTCATCCTCCTCTCCCTCACCTGCTACAGCATCATCAGTATTCTCTCCTACTCCGCTCTCGCTCTGCTCTCCGGCACCGTCTCCTTCAGGGTGTACAGGGGAGTCCTGCAGGCCGTCCAGAAGTCTGAGGAAGGACACCCGTTCAGGTGAGCCACTGAGGGGTGTGTGTGTGTGTGTGTGTGTGAGAGAGAGAGAGAGAGAGAGAGAAGTCTGAGGAAGGACACCCGTTCAGGAGAGCCATCGAGGGGTGTGTGTGTGTGTGTGTGTGTGTGTGAGAGAGAGAGAGAGAGAGAGAAGTCTGAGGAAGGACACCCGTTCAGGTGAGCCACTGAGGGGTGTGTGTGTGTGTGTGTGTGTGTGTGTGAGAGAGAGAGAGAGAGAAGTCTGAGGAAGGACACCCGTTCAGGTGAGCCACTGAGGGGTGTGTGTGTGTGTGTGTGTGTGTGAGAGAGAGAGAGAGAGAAGTCTGAGGAAGGACACCCGTTCAGGTGAGCCACTGAGGGGTGTGTGTGTGTGTGTGTGTGTGTGAGAGAGAGAGAGAGAAGTCTGAGGAAGGACACCCGTTCAGGTGAGCCACTGAGGGGTGTGTGTGTGTGTGTGTGTGTGTGTGTGTGTGTGAGAGAGAGAGAGAGAGAAGTCTGAGGAAGGACACCCGTTCAGGTGAGCCACTGAGGGGTGTGTGTGTGTGTGTGTGTGTGAGAGAGAGAGAGAGAGAAGTCTGAGGAAGGACACCCGTTCAGGTGAGCCATCGAGGGGTGTGTGTGTGTGTGTGTGTGAGAGAGAGAGAGAGAGAGAGAGAAGTCTGAGGAAGGACACCCGCTCAGGAGAGCCATCGAGGGGTGTGTGTGTGTGTGTGTGTGTGAGAGAGAGAGAGAGAGAGAGAGAAGTCTGAGGAAGGACACCCGTTCAGGTGAGCCACTGAGGGGTGTGTGTGTGTGTGTGTGTGTGAGAGAGAGAGAGAGAGAGAGAGAAGTCTGAGGAAGGACACCCGTTCAGGAGAGCCATCGAGGGGTGTGTGTGTGTGAGAGAGAGAGAGAAGTCTGAGGAAGGACACCCGTTCAGGTGAGCCATCGAGGGGTGTGTGTGTGTGTGTGACCCATACTCACTGGTCTCCCCTCATGTGTGCAGAGTTTGAGCCAATACTCACTGGTCTCCCCTCATGTGTGCAGAGTTTGAGCCCATACTCACTGGTCTATCCTCATGTGTGCAGAGTTTGAGCCCATACTCACTGGTCTTCCCTCATGTGTGCAGAGTTTGAGCCCATACTCACTGGTCTCCCCTCATGTGTGCAGAGTTTGAGCCCATACTCACTGGTCTCCCCTCATGTGTGCAGAGTTTGAGCCCATACTCACTGGTCTCCCCTCATGTGTGCAGAGTTTGAGCCCATACTCACTGGTCTTCCCTCATGTGTGCAGAGTTTGAGCCCATACTCACTGGTCTCCCCTCATGTGTGCAGAGTTTGAGCCCATACTCACTGGTCTCCCCTCATGTGTGCAGAGTTTGAGCCCATACTCACTGGTCTATCCTCATGTGTGCAGAGTTTGAGCCCATACTCACTGGTCTCCCCTCATGTGTGCAGAGTTTGAGCCCATACTCACTGGTCTCCCCTCATGTGTGCAGAGTTTGAGCCCATACTCACTGGTCTTCCCTCATGTGTGCAGAGTTTGAGCCCATACTCACTGGTCTCCCCTCATGTGTGCAGAGTTTGAGCCCATACTCACTGGTCTCCCCTCATGTGTGCAGAGTTTGAGCCAATACTCACTGGTCTCCCCTCATGTGTGCAGAGTTTGAGCCCATACTCACTGGTCTCCCCTCATGTGTGCAGAGTTTGAGCCCATACTCACTGGTCTCCCCTCATGTGTGCAGAGTTTGAGCCCATACTCACTGGTCTCCCCTCATGTGTGCAGAGTTTGAGCCCATACTCACTGGTCTTCCCTCATGTGTGCAGAGTTTGAGCCCATACTCACTGGTCTCCCCTCATGTGTGCAGAGTTTGAGCCCATACTCACTGGTCTCCCCTCATGTGTGCAGAGTTTGAGCCCATACTCACTGGTCTTCCCTCATGTGTGCAGAGTTTGAGCCCATACTCACTGGTCTCCCCTCATGTGTGCAGAGTTTGAGCCCATACTCACTGGTCTCCCCTCATGTGTGCAGAGTTTGAGCCCATACTCACTGGTCTATCCTCATGTGTGCAGAGTTTGAGCCCATACTCACTGGTCTCCCCTCATGTGTGCAGAGTTTGAGCCCATACTCACTGGTCTCCCCTCATGTGTGCAGAGTTTGAGCCCATACTCACTGGTCTTCCCTCATGTGTGCAGAGTTTGAGCCCATACTCACTGGTCTCCCCTCATGTGTGCAGAGTTTGAGCCCATACTCACTGGTCTCCCCTCATGTGTGCAGAGTTTGAGCCCATACTCACTGGTCTATCCTCATGTGTGCAGAGTTTGAGCCCATACTCACTGGTCTCCCCTCATGTGTGCAGAGTTTGAGCCCATACTCACTGGTCTATCCTCATGTGTGCAGAGTTTGAGCCCATACTCACTGGTCTCCCCTCATGTGTGCAGAGTTTGAGCCCATACTCACTGGTCTCCCCTCATGTGTGCAGAGTTTGAGCCCATACTCACTGGTCTTCCCTCATGTGTGCAGATGTGTCCTGGAGAAGGACTTGGCTCTGTCCAGTGAGGCAGTGCAGAGGCACAGTGATGTTGTTCTGAGTCGGATCAACGGAGCGCTGAAGGAGCTGCGCCGCCTTTTTCTGGTGGAGGATCTCGTCGACTCTCTCAAGGTCTGAGTTTAAAACACCTTTTGTTCAAGTCTTCTCTTCCTCATACTCTTCCTCCTCTTACACATACTCTTCCTCCTCTTACACATACTCTTCCTCCTCTTACACATACTCTTCCTCCTCTTCCTCATTCTCTTCCTCCTCTTCCTCATTCTCTTCCTCCTCTTACACATTCTTCCTCCTTACACATATTATTCCTCTTACTCATACTCTTCCTCTTACTCATACTCTTCCTCCTCTTACACATACTCTTCCTCCTCTTACTCATACTCTCCCTCCTCTTACTCATACTCTCCCTCCTCTTACTCATACTCTTCCTCCTCTTACACATGCTCTTCCTCCTCTTACACATATTATTCCTCTTACTCATACTCTTCCTCTTACTCATACTCTTCCTCCTCTTACACATACTCTTCCTCCTCTTACACATACTCTTCCTCCTCTTACTCATACTCTCCCTCCTCTTACTCATACTCTTCCTCCTCTTACACATGCTCTTCCTCCTCTTACTCACACTCTCCCTCCTCTTACTCATACTCTTCCTCCTCTTACACATATTCTTCCTCCTCTTACTCATACTCTTCCTCCTCTTACTCATACTCTTCCTCCTCTTACTCATACTCTCCCTCCTCTTACTCATACTCTTCCTCCTCTTACTCATACTCTTCCTCCTCTTACTCATACTCTTCCTCCTCTTACACATATTCTTCCTCCTCTTACTCATACTCTTCCTCCTCTTACTCATACTCTTCCTCCTCTTACTCATACTCTCCCTCCTCTTACTCATACTCTCCCTCCTCTTACTCATGCTCTTCCTCCTCTTACACATATTCTTCCTCCTCTTACTCATACTCTTCCTCCTCTTACTCATACTCTCCCTCCTCTTACACATGCTCTTCCTCCTCTTACACATGATCTTCCTCCTCTTACACATACTCTTCCTCCTCTTACTCATACTCTCCCTCCTCTTACTCATACTCTTCCTCCTCTTACACATGCTCTTCCTCCTCTTACACATACTCTTCCTCCTCTTACTCATGCTCTTCCTCCTCTTACACATATTCTTCCTCCTCTTACTCATACTCTCCCTCCTCTTACTCATACTCTTCCTCCTCTTACTCATACTCTTCCTCCTCTTACTCATACTCTCCCTCCTCTTACTCATACTCTCCCTCCTCTTACTCATGCTCTTCCTCCTCTTACACATATTCTCCCTCCTCTTACTCATACTCTCCCTCCTCTTACTCATACTCTTCCTCCTCTTACTCATGCTCTTCCTCCTCTTACACATGCTCTTCCTCCTCTTACACATGCTCTTCCTCCTCTTACTCATGCTCTTCCTCCTCTTACTCATACTCTTCCTCCTCTTACTCATACTCTTCCTCCTCTTACTCATACTCTCCCTCCTCTTACTCATACTCTTCCTCCTCTTACTCATACTCTCCCTCCTCTTACACATGCTCTTCCTCCTCTTACTCATACTCATCCTCCTCTTACTCATACTCTCCCTCCTCTTATACCCCTTTTCCACCAAAAACGAACTGGTTCGGAACTGGTGCTGGTTCAAAGTTGGTTCGGAGTTGGTTCAACTTGCAAACCTTCTCAGAACCTGTTTGTTTTTCCACTGACTAGAGCGCCCAGCGAATGACGTCGTTACGTCACTGTGTACGTCGCCATTTATCTTAGCTAGAAACGCTTGCAAGTACATTACTTTGGGATTATCTAACTCGTGAACCAAGAAGGCTTTTAAAACAATTGAAATATGTAAGTCTTTTAATCTTTTCCTTTGATATGTAATCTTTTCTGATTAGTTATGTACTCCTGTCTTGTGTCTTTTTTTCTTTCCATTTATTTGTTCTATATTGTGACTGTTTTCTCCTTTGCTTACATAACGTTTTCAATAAAAAAATAAACTAGAAACGCTTGCGCCAACTTCAAGCATAACAATTACAATGGCGGACTACATCGTGTTTCTGCAAATGTTTCTCCTGGCTTTGCGATCCTAAATTATGTCAGAAAATATGTTATCTAAACCCGCCCCCAGCCCCCGACGTAAGCATGACGTGGTAAAAGAACGGTTCTAGTCCAGCAAAGAGTTGGTGCCGCTTTGGAACCAGTTTTCCTGGCCGAGAACCGGTTCTTTGGCTGTCGAAACACAAAGAATTGGTTCGCGCGCAGGCACCGGCTCCGAACCGGCTCTCAAAATGCGTTGGTGGAAAAGGGGTATTACACATGCTCTTCCTCCTCTTACACATGCTCTTCCTCTTACACATGATCTTCCTCCTCTTACACATGCTCTTCCTCTTACACATGCTCTTCCTCTTACACATGATCTTCCTCCTCTTACACATGCTCTTCCTCTTACTCATGCTCTTCCTCCTCTTACACATGCTCTTCCTCTTACACATGATCTTCCTCCTCTTACACATACTCTTCCTCCTCTTACACATGCTCTTCCTCTTACACATGATCTTCCTCCTCTTACACATACTCTTCCTCCTCTTACACATGCTCTTCCTCCTCTTCCTCATACTCTTCCTCCTCTTACACATGCTCTTCCTCCTCTTACTCATACTCTCCCTCCTCTTACTCATGCTCTTCCTCCTCTTACTCATACTCTTCCTCCTCTTACACATACTCTTCCTCCTCTTACACATACTTTCCCTCCTCTTAGTCATACTCTTCCTCCTCTTACTCATACTCTTCCTCCTCTTACACATGCTCTTCCTCTTACACATGATCTTCCTCCTCTTACACATACTCTTCCTCCTCTTACACATGCTCTTCCTCCTCTTCCTCATACTCTTCCTCCTCTTACACATGCTCTTCCTCCTCTTACTCATACTCTCCCTCCTCTTACTCATGCTCTTCCTCCTCTTACTCATACTCTTCCTCCTCTTACACATACTCTTCCTCCTCTTACACATACTTTCCCTCCTCTTAGTCATACTCTTCCTCCTCTTACTCATACTCTTCCTCCTCTTACACATGCTCTTCCTCTTACACATGATCTTCCTCCTCTTACACATACTCTTCCTCCTCTTACACATGCTCTTCCTCCTCTTCCTCATACTCTTCCTCCTCTTACACATGCTCTTCCTCCTCTTACTCATACTCTCCCTCCTCTTACTCATGCTCTTCCTCCTCTTACTCATACTCTTCCTCCTCTTACACATACTCTTCCTCCTCTTACACATACTTTCCCTCCTCTTAGTCATACTCTTCCTCCTCTTACTCATACTCTCCCTCCTCTTACTCATGCTCTTCCTCCTCTTACTCATACTCTCCCTCTTCTTACTCATACTCTTCCTCTTACTCATGCTCTCCCTCCTCTTACACATACTCTCCCTCCTCTTACTCATTCTCTTCCTCCTCTTACACATACTCTTCCTCCTCTTACACATGCTCTTCCTCCTCTTCCTCATACTCTTCCTCCTCTTACACATGCTCTTCCTCCGCTTACACATACTCTTCCTCCTCTTACACATGCTCTTCCTCCTCTTCCTCATACTCTTCCTCCTCTTACTCATTCTCTTCCTCCTCTTACACATACTCTTCCTCCTCTTACACATGCTCTTCCTCCTCTTCCTCATACTCTTCCTCCTCTTACACATGCTCTTCCTCCTCTTACACATACTCTTCCTCCTCTTACACATGCTCTTCCTCCTCTTCCTCATACTCTTCCTCCTCTTACACATGCTCTTCCTCCGCTTACTCATACTCTCCCTCCTCTTACTCATTCTCTTCCTCCTCTTACACATGCTCTTCCTCCGCTTACTCATGCTCTTCCTCTTCTTACTCATACTCTTCCTCTTACTCATGCTCTCCCTCCTCTTACACATGCTCTTCCTCCTCTTACTCATACTCTCCCTCCTCTTACTCATGCTCTTCCTCCTCTTACTCATACTCTCCCTCTTCTTACTCATACTCTTCCTCTTACTCATGCTCTCCCTCCTCTTACACATACTCTCCCTCCTCTTACTCATTCTCTTCCTCCTCTTACTCATGCTCTTCCTCCTCTTACACATACTCTTCCTCCTCTTACACATGCTCTTCCTCCTCTTCCTCATACTCTTCCTCCTCTTACACATGCTCTTCCTCCTCTTACTCATACTCTCCCTCCTCTTACTCATGCTCTTCCTCCTCTTACACATGCTCTTCCTCCTCTTACACATGCTCTTCCTCCTCTTACTCATACTCTTCCTCCTCTTACACATGCTCTTCCTCCTCTTACACATACTCTTCCTCCTCTTACTCATACTCTTCCTCCTCTTACACATGCTCTTCCTCCGCTTACTCATACTCTCCCTCCTCTTACTCATACTCTTCCTCCTCTTACACATGCTCTCCCTCCTCTTACACATGCTCTTCCTCCTCTTACTCATACTCTTCCTCCTCTTACACATGCTCTTCCTCCTCTTACTCATACTCTTCTTCCTCTTACTCATACTCTTCCTCTTACTCATGCTCTCCCTCCTCTTACACATACTCTCCCTCCTCTTACTCATTCTCTTCCTCCTCTTACTCATGCTCTTCCTCCTCTTACACATGCTCTTCCTCCTCTTACACATGCTCTTCCTCCTCTTACACATGCTCTTCCTCCTCTTACTCATACTCTTCCTCCTCTTACACATGCTCTTCCTCCTCTTACACATACTCTTCCTCCTCTTACTCATACTCTTCCTCCTCTTACACATGCTCTTCCTCCGCTTACTCATACTCTCCCTCCTCTTACTCATACTCTTCCTCCTCTTACACATGCTCTCCCTCCTCTTACACATGCTCTTCCTCCTCTTACTCATACTCTTCCTCCTCTTACACATGCTCTTCCTCCTCTTACTCATGCTCTTCTTCCTCTTACTCATGCTCTTCCTCCTCTTACACATGCTCTTCCTCCTCTTACTCATACTCTTCTTCCTCTTACACATGCTCTTCCTCCCCTTACACATGCTCTTCCTCCCCTTACACATGCTCTTCCTCCTCTTACACATGCTCTTCCTCCTCTTACACATGCTCTTCCTCTTACTCATGCTCTTCCTTCTCTTACACATGCTCTTCCTCCTCTTACTCATACTCTTCTTCCTCTTACTCATGCTCTTCCTCCTCTTACACATGCTCTTCCTCCTCTTACTCATACTCTCCCTCCTCTTACACCTGCTCTCCCTCCTCTTACACATGCTCTTCCTCCTCTTACTCATACTCTTCCTCCTCTTACACATGCTCTTCCTCCTCTTACACATGCTCTTCCTCCTCTTACTCATACTCTTCCTCCTCTTACACATATTCTTCCTCCTCTTACTCATACTCTCCCTCCTCTTACTCAGTCTTCCTCCCCTTACACATGCTCTTCCTCCCCTTACACATGCTCTTCCTCCTCTTACTCATACTCTTCCTCCTCTTACACATGCTCTTCCTCCTCTTACTCATACTCTTCCTCCTCTTACACATGCTCTTCCTCCTCTTACACATGCTCTTCCTCCTCTTATTCATGCTCTTCCTCCTCTTACACATGCTCTTCCTCCTCTTACTCATACTCTCCCTCCTCTTACACATGCTCTTCCTCCTCTTACACATGCTCTTCCTCCTCTTACACATGCTCTTCCTCCTCTTATTCATGCTCTTCCTCCTCTTACTCATACTCTTCCTCCTCTTACACATACTCTTCCTCCTCTTACACATCCTCTTCCTCCTCTTACACATATTCTTCCTCCTCTTACTCATACTCTCCCTCCTCTTACTCATGCTCTTCCTCCTCTTACACATACTCTCCCTCCTCTTACTCATACTCTCCCTCCTCTTACTCATACTCTTCCTCCTCTTACACATGCTCTTCCTCCTCTTACTCATGCTCTTCCTTCTCTTACACATGCTCTTCCTCCTCTTACACATGCTCTTCCTCCTCTTACACATGCTCTTCCTCCTCTTACTCATACTCTCCCTCCTCTTACACATGCTCTTCCTCCTCTTACTCATACTCTCCCTCCTCTTACACATGCTCTTCCTCCCCTTACACATGCTCTTCCTCCTCTTACACATGCTCTTCCTCCTCTTACACATGCTCTTCCTCCTCTTACTCATACTCTCCCTCCTCTTACACATGCTCTTCCTCCCCTTACACATGCTCTTCCTCATCTTACTCATACTCTCCCTCCTCTTACACATGCTCTTCCTCCTCTTACACATGCTCTTCCTCCTCTTACACATGCTCTTCCTCCTCTTACTCATACTCTCCCTCCTCTTACACATGCTCTTCCTCCCCTTACACATGCTCTTCCTCCTCTTACACATGATCTTCCTCCTCTTACTCATACTCTTCCTCCTCTTACTCATACTCTCCCTCCTCTTACACATGCTCTTCCTCCTCTTACTCATACTCTCCCTCCTCTTACACATGCTCTTCCTCCTCTTACACATGCTCTTCCTCCTCTTACACATGCTCTTCCTCCTCTTACTCATACTCTTCCTCCTCTTACTCATACTCTTCCTCCTCTTACACATGCTCTTCCTCCTCTTACTCATACTCTCCCTCCTCTTACTCATGCTCTTCCTCCTCTTACTCATACTCTTCCTCCTCTTACACATACTCTTCCTCCTCTTACACATGCTCTTCCTCCCCTTACACATGCTCTTCCTCCTCTTACTCATACTCTTCCTCCTCTTACTCATACTCTTCCTCCTCTTACACATGCTCTTCCTCCCCTTACACATGCTCTTCCTCCTCTTACTCATGCTCTTCTTCCTCTTACTCATACTCTTCCTCCTCTTACTCATACTCTTCCTCCTCTTACACATATTCTTCCTTCTCTTACTCATACTCTCCCTCCTCTTACACATCCTCTTCCTCCTCTTCCTCCAAAAGAAATAGTACTCTTCCTCCCTCATACTCATACTCTTCCTCTTCTTACTCATACTCAAATGTTTTGAATGTCCATTGATGTTAGTTGTGTTTCTCCTCCAGTTTGGCGGGTTGTTGTGGGTCTTCACGTATGTTGGTTCCTGGTTTAACGGACTCACGCTTCTCATTCTGGGTAAGACCATTGTGTTGATTTAACTTTATACTCTGTTTTCATGCTAACTTCAGTCGTTGTTGTTCTTCACAGTTGCTGGTCAAGCGTAATGATGTTCACTCGTGTGTTTATCTTCTTACACTGCAGGTCTGATTGGAGCTTTCAGCGGCCCGATAACCTACGAGAAGCATCAGGTGAGAGAGAGAGAGTGAGAGAGAGAGTGAGAGAGAGAGTGAGAGAGAGAGTGAGAGAGAGAGTGAGAGAGAGAGTGAGAGAGAGAGTGAGAGAGAGAGTGAGAGAGAGAGAGAGTGAGAGAGAGAGTGAGAGAGAGAGTGAGAGAGAGAGTGAGAGAGAGAGTGAGAGAGAGAGTGAGAGAGAGAGTGAGAGAGAGAGTGAGAGAGAGAGTGAGAGAGAGAGTGAGAGAGAGAGTGAGAGAGAGAGTGAGAGTTTTGAGTTTTCAACACACTTTATTTATATCATTACAACGTCAGCAAATGACCCAATCACATTATCCAAAAGACAACAAGGAGATACAAAAAACAAGACTTATTGTAACATCATAGCAAAAATCAACATTTCTTCTTCAACTGTACAAATAGCTCCATTAAAACACCATTTGTGCAAAAAACTTTCTAAGTCATTCATCAGTTTATAGAACTTGAAATCAAACATAACCCTTGCTTTTACCATATTTTTAAAGACAATAACCACATGTTGTCCTTCTCTACCCTCTATTTTGTTTCTCCTGGTTATGTAAACAGCAAGTTTAGCTTGCCCAATTAAAAAATTCAACAATTGACTTTTTATTCTTTGCGCCACACTATATTTGGGTCCAAGAATCCAAATCATAGATGAAAAAATCTCCCCAAAATTCATGAAAAGTACATCAAGCAAACAAAACATTTCATACAGTCTAGAACATTCTAAAAAACAATGAAAAATTGTCTCCCTCATTTTACAAAAAGGACAATCACTTGACACATTGGGATTAATTAAGCTCACAAAAGCATTTACAGCAACTGCGCCGTGTAAAACCCTCCACTGAATGTCACCTGTGCGTTTTTCAATTGGTGGTTTGTATAAGACTCTCCAAACAGGTTTATTTTCATCATCTATTCCCAGTTTCTCTCTCCACACTGTATCACTACGTTCTTTTAAATGTGCTTTATTTAAAACTTTTACAAGACATTTATACAAAACTTTACTCTGAACACCCTGCAAACTTAACCCTTCTAGCCCTCTCAGGTTCAGAAAAGGTCCAGACAGTCCTTTGAGATTGGGACTAAGAAAAATACTTGGAAATGGATCTGTATTATTAGGAACCAGTTTCCCATTATGAAATTCAATTAACAAATTATGTTCTTCTTCTGTGAGTTTCTGTTTAAAAAAATCCAGAATTTTTTCTACATACCGTACCGACCGCACACCTAGATATGCGGCCATGGACTGAACATTATTCAAACCAGAACCAGCAACATCCAACACATGATGCAGTTTTAATGTCTTAGTGGAAATTAAACAATGAAGCAGTCCAGGTGTAACTTCACACGTAACATCAAACCGCGCTCCATGCACAAGAGGTTCCTCCAAAAGCCAGTACAACGAGGAAGTCGCATCCAACCTCCGTTTTTCAAATAAGTCCCAAACTTTAAAAAGTCCCTTATAAAAAGGAGTCAGTCCGTTGCACTGCAGCTTACTAGAGTCCATCAAAAACAAGACAGAGTTCAATCCCAGTCCGCCAGCTTGATTGAAAATAGCATCAGCCACTTTTCTCCAGACAAGATCCTCAGGTCCTGTGAGGTACCTTTGAATAAACAGAAGTCGAAAAGCTGCCCCCCTGCTGGGCAAATGGATAAGTCCTTGTCCTCCTTCATCTCTGGGTAGAAAAAGTATGCTCTGCGGTATCCAATGAAAAGGGCTCCAAAAAAAATCCACCATACTGGCTTGAATTTTACTCAGAAGTCCATTTGGAGGATCAATGCAGGCCAAACGATGCCACAAAACTGAAGCCACCAGGTTATTAATTATTATCACCGTCCCTCTAAAAGACATTTTTGGCAAAAGCCATTTTCATTTTTCCAATCGCCCCTTTAATTTTTCTAAAACTCCTTCCCAATTTTTGCCTAACATTGAATCATTGCCAACATATACTCCTAAATATTTTAACCCATCTCTTTTCCAGTACAAATCACCTGGTAGTGTAGGAAGACCATGGGACCAGTTACCACTTATTATGGCTTCACTTTTGGACCAGTTAACTTTGGCAGAGGAAATTAGACCAAATTTGTCAAGAATGTCTTTAAGAAGATCAACATCATTTTGCCCTTTAACCAAAACAATAATATATGATGCAGCTTAAAATTTGCTCCAGAGCAAGGTATGGTCCAACCTTCAATGCTTTCTCTGATCTTAACCAATAAAGGTTCAATGGCAAGAGCATACAACATTCCCGAAAGTGCACAGCCTTGTCTAATACCTCTGTTCATTTTAAAAGGAGCACTAAGACCACCATTCACTTTCAGTACACTCTCAACATCCCGGTACAAAACCCTAATCATGGCAATAAAACCAGAGCTGAACCCGAACTCCTCTAGCGTGCGCCAGAGATAGCTGTGCTCAACCCGGTCAAATGCCTTTTCCTGATCTAGAGAAATGAGACCAGTGTCTATTAGGGGTGTCACGATTCTCCAAATCTTCGATTAAGTTTTCGATTCTAAGGTCACGATTCGATTCGATTCTCGATTTAAAAAAAAAATTAAAGCGCAGATTGCTATGCAATTTTTAGACTACACGTTTAAGCATTATGCAATATAAATTTGTTATGCAATATAAATTTGCCTAAATCCGGAGTTTTCCACCACAGAATAAGGTCGCATATCTGCAGCGATGAATACTCCTAAGGCGCTTGTAATAGCATTTGCACGAGTTGAGTTACTTGGAAATTTAATTACAAATGAAGACGGGAGAGTAGGCTAGTTTGTACAGTTGTTGGTTTGACCGACAAATCTATATTTTTGTGCTGTCTGCGGAGATGCGCAGCCATGTTAGTCGTGTTGCCAGTGGACGAATATGGTACACGCACATAGCAGAGCTTGCAAACTGTGGCTTTTTTGTCGACAACGCGAACGTTGTCAACATACCGCACTGCAAATCCAAAATACCTCCACACCGGCGACTTCAGTGAAGCAGGAGGGTGTTCAAGTTCCGTTGATGGGTCTTCGATATCTGCAGTTGCCATGATGTGTCAGTTAGAGGACTCGCAGCCTTTCAACAGGTGTTTTGTTTTCCGCACCGTGATGAGTCGTTCATCATGAATGAGTCATTCATCATAAACGATCTGTTCATTGCCTCTGTCACGCGACAAATGAACAAAAGACTCGGAAGGTAAAGTAATTATTTGTTCCCTGTAGTGTAAATTATTTTTCACTGCATTCATCATTATGTACATCTTCTTATTGTTCGGGGAATTTGCATGTTAATAGTATAACATTTAAAGCCCCTGAAATTACTAGAAAAAAAGTTTAGTTAATTTTGATGAACGAGATTGAACAATAGAGTCTGTAAAACGATCCGACCTTTCCATCACGGACGCGACATGGGGCGTGGCAGTATCGACGATACCATTTTTTATTTCGATTTCGATACCATTGAATTAATTTCGATCGATTTCGATTTAATATCGAAATCGTGACACCCTTAGTGTCTGTCCAATAGCCTAGAGACGTCCAAAATATCCCGAATTAAATAAACATTATCAAAAACAGACCTGTTAGGCACACAGTAAGTTTGATCACGATGAATAACCTGCCCAACTACCTCCCTCAATCTAATGGCCAAAGCTTTAGAAAAGAGCTTTAAATCAGAGCATAAAAGTGAAACAGGGCGCCAGTTCTTTATTTCTTTTAAATCACCTTTTTTGGGTAACAGGGTAATGACTGCCCTCCTGCAGCTCAAAGGTAGCAAACCTCGGGCCAGACTATCATTGAGCACAGCCAGCAAATCACCCCCCAACACTGACCAAAACGTTTTATAAAACTCGACAGGTAGACCATCAATACCCGGGGCCTTACCGCAATCCATGCTCCGCAGAGCAACATGCAGTTCAGCTGCTGAAAGCGGCCTCTCTAGCCAAGAATTGGTCTCATCTGGAACTTTAGGCAAACCCATATAAAAAGAGCTGGCCAGCTCATCTTCCTCTGTATGTTCACTTTTATAAAGCTCAGAATAAAATAATACAGCTCTTTTTCTGATTTCCTTAGGCTCCACCACTTCTATACCCTCCAATGACTATAAAGAATGTATAATTCTGCTTTGACCATTCTTTTTCTCCAAACCGAAGAAGAATTTAGTTGGGCCATCCATCTCTACCGCACTCTGAAAACGTGAGCGGATCAAAGCTCCCTGTGCTCTGATGCCTAACAGGTTATCCAGAGTCCTTCTTTTAACTTTGAGGAGCTCAATATGTCCTCGATTTCCTGTGGACTCTACCAGATTCTGCAGTTCCACTATTTCAATCTCTAAGGATTTCATTGATTGGGAAATGTCCTTGGATACATTGAGAGTGTACTGACGACACAGTTGCTGTATTTCTTTTTTCCCATGATCCCACCATTGTTGTAGGGATGAAAAATCTTTTTTCCTGGAACTGAACTGTTTCCAAAAATAAAGACATCCTTAAAAAAATTGTCTTGTAGCAAAGAAGTATTAAAGTGCCAATAGGCACTCTTAGGCTTTATATTAGTGATGAAAACACTACAGATTACTAGACTGTGATCAGAAAACCCACAAGGCAAAATCTCACATTTCTTAATAACATTAAACTGGTACTTAAAACAATAGAACCTATCCAATCTAGCCATAGAAATATAATTTCTCTTGTGTGCGCCCATGTGTACTGCCTTTGTTCTTTATATAGAGTTCTCCATATATCACACAAATCATGTTCTTCTATAAGCTTTCTTATAGCATGTTGAGAAGCTAGATGTGGCTCTCTATGATTCCTATCCATTCCATCATTTGCTGTACAGTTAAAATCCCCTCCAACAAATATGAACTCTTCCTCTTTACAGTTTGACAAAATATTACTTAATTTATCAAAAAGAACAACCCTTTCAGGACCAACAACAGGAGCATACACATTTATAAAAACTAAAAACATTTTTTCAAATTTTGCTGTTATTTTCAATAGATGTCC